CCGGCAAGATAGCTAAGTGGATAAAGGTTCCTGCTGCCAAGCCTGACAGCCTGAGTTCAATCTCCAGAACCTACATGATGAAGAAAACTGACTCCCACAAGTGATCCTTTGACCTCCACACAGGAGCCCTGGCACAGGTACACACACAGAAGAAGGGAAAGAGAAAAAAGTCTCGCCAAGAACTACCAACAGTGACCAACTTTCAGGAGGTGTAAATCCCACTCATTTGATTAAAAGATGTGGGAGTTTCCAAAGCCTTCTAGAAGGATGACTGCAAAAAAAATTTTTTTTCTTTTTCCCTAGATAAAACTGTTAAACTATTTCCTTTTGAATTTCAAAAGTAGAGTAACAATCAGCAACAGGATGCACTTGAAAAACAGCAGTATATAACCCGAGATGATGTCTCAGGCCAGCACCTGAGACACTGAGGCAGGAGGATTGCCAAGAGTTAGAGACCAACCTGGGTATTGTGAGGCCTATTGGGAAAACAGACAAACAACTCACGCAATATTACAATGTTTCAGTGGTTGGGTCTGGTGAGCTGAAACTTTTCTTTCCCTGTAGAACTGAGAACTGAACTAGGGCTTTGTGCATGCCAAGCAAGTATTCCACCACTGAGGTTCATCCATGGCCCCTTTAAAACTTTTTTTTCTTTAGACAATTTCAGAGTTGCTCAGGCTGGCCTTGAACTTGCTCTATAGTTCAGGCAGACACTGAACTTGTAATTTTCCTACCTCACCTCCAAGTGGCCGGGATTACAAGTCTGTGCCGCCACATCTTACAAGTTGAAATTTTTTTTTAAATGTTTTTTAAAAGTAAGCCTGTTTTAAAAAAAGCCTCTCTATTACCACATAAAGAACAAACTGAACAAGTATTTACACAGCACAATCAAAAGCCGGATTCACAGTCTCTTTGAACAAATGATAGAAGCAGGGAAGAACGAAGTAGCATCACTGGTAGATCTGAGTAGTGTCTGTGTTGGCAGAATCAACAGAAAGCAAGGTTGACTGGTCTGAGAAGTGGAAAATTCCAATAGGTGTCCACAGGAAACCAAGGAAAGAACAGGTAAAACCAGGAGGCCTGTGATGATGCCAGAGTGTGAGATGCAGGGCCCATAATAAACTGAAGGACTGAGGTCATCTAGTCCCTGTGAATATTAAAGACTGGTCCCCAGGGCTCCTTCCAGGGCAAGGAAATTCTGGGAGCAGTATCCAAATTGAGCAGAATGGAGGCTACAGAAGGAAAGAAAAGATCTAGACATAAGTAGGTGAGAAGAAAGCCAGGGAGTGTTGGGAAGGGGCTCCATGCTTTTTCTTCAAGAAAGCAACATAATGTAGGGTAAGCACTATAACCTTAAGAAAGACTTCTTAAACCCTGTTTCCTAAAAGTTCAAGGGAACTGTATTTCACATCAGGGCAAAACCCAGAAAAGTGTGTAAGTCAAATCCTGTACAAAGTTAAAGGGGGAGGGAGCTGAATAACCCTCTTGTAAATTGCAAAAGTACACACAAACTGAATAGCCCATGCAAGAAAACCCAAACAATAGCCTATTTTAAAATAAACTAAAGATTTAAGGAACTACCATTAGACATAAATGAACACAATTCACGATTAGAGAAATTCAGGCATGAGGTGACAGAATTAGACATCAAACAAAAATATATTTCAGGAATGAATAGTAAACAGCACAAAAGAGGAATGGAACATAATAAAGAAAATTAAGTTTAAAAGACATACAAATGATTTGAGATGATAAAATATATTAAAGACAGGAAAAGATTATGTAACATACAAACAACAGGAAATCAAAGCAAGGGAATAAACCTAAGATTAAGTAATATAATTTATTAAAACCTTCCCTGAGTGCCTGGAGAGATGGTTTAGTGGTTAAGAGCACTGGCTTCTCTTGCAGAGGACCCAGGTTTGGTTCTCAGGACCCACATGGCGGCTAACAACCGTCCATAACTCCAGTTCCAGGAGATTCAACGCCCTCTTCTGACCTCCGTGAGCATTGCACGTCATGGGTGCACTAACACACATGCAGGCAATACCCTCATACACATAAAATAAAAATAATGCATAAAATATTTAAAATAAATAAAAGCTTCCCTGAAATAAAGAATTTAAAATATAACCAAAAGAATACATAGCAAACATAAAACTATCGAACTAGAATGATGAAGACTACATCTAATAAAATTATGACAATGGGGAAGGGAATGAGGAAGGGGAAAGACCAAGTTAAAAGGAAGCAAAGGAAATAAGAAAAGGAGGCAGGCAGGCAGGATGTCTGGGGATATCACGGTAAGAGCCCCGGAAGCAGAAGAAAGTTAGGTGGTCATCAGCTTCAACAGTAACTTTCCATGCCAGAAGAAAATAAAAGCACATTCAAGGACAGAAAGATGAGTCTGTGCTATTGATTAAAAAAAAATCCTGGGGAGTTTTAGTTACCTATACAAGACTGAAAGAGAGTGTAAGATGCACAAGCCTTTTGGTCAGTCAGCATTGATATAATCACACAATAGCAAAAAACGTTGAGTGAATGTGGAGAGAATAGACTCAGGGTGGGGGAAATCTAAAGTAACTTCTCAGGAGCTACGCTAGTTACTATAGTGGTATTACTATTCTGAGACTGTTTATATACAATGTAGGATAAAGCAAATGAATGATTATGGAATAGCCTATCATCCCCATGACCTAAGAAACAAGAATTTAAGTGAGGAGAGAGATACAAATAAACACAAGACTTATGTAAACATATGCTATAATCTGAATTTGGATTGGAGGGGAAATCCTACTATGAACTTCTAGGGCATTTCCTCTTTAATTTTATACCTACATAACTGCATTCTTATGTACCTAAGTTAATAAATAGCTTTCTAGCTCTATCACAAAGCAGGCCTAATACAATAAACAACCTAGAAGCAGCAAGCATCCCTAGGACCCAGACAATGGTCTGGAAGTATCATTTACTGCTAGAAAAACTATGGCTATTTAGAGAATGGTTAACTCTAGGTTTGGGAGAAGAAATGTACTCTGGAAGTCTGGAATAATTACTCAGTACATGCTATAAGACTTACAAACCAACCTGAAGTCTCACTGGCTAAAAATAGCACATTTCGAGCCTTTAAGAAGAAAATTTAAATAGATTGAAATTCAAATTTATTTTAATGCATAAATTCTTAATATTAAAAATAAGAGCCCTTTCACTGGATCACAGTGAAATCAATTCATTATCTTGAAAAAGGTTAAATAAATGACAAGACTCAGGTGCTTGTTTTGTTTTCCCCTTATGAAGTACACCACTGTTTGCACAAAAATTTTCCCAATAAAAGCATCTCTAGCAATAACTAAGGGACGGTTCAGCTAAATATCATGTGTTTGAACCCCTAATGTAGTAATGAGCCTAGGCATTAAGTTTCAGCAGCAGCTGACATCACAGAAAGATCAACAACCATGTGCTATGTATATATAGGTGAAAAACAGCTTTTACACCCTGCTAAGGGGACTAGACATGAATCTGATCTTGTACATGGATGACCAGAAAGGCAGAGGAATAAGCTGAACTGTACCATGCATATGCCATTAGTAACATATGGGTATGGTTAACTCCGGGTGAAAAGGGCAAGCTTAAAGGATATATTAAAAAGGAAACAGGGAATGGGGACAAACCTGTATGTTTTGAATATTTAAAGAAAATGTCTACTTTTTAGATGAGCAAGATTGAACCCTGCACAATGGAATGCTATTCAACTGTAAGGAAAAATAAAATCGTAAAATTTGCAGGAAAATGGATGGAATTTAAAAGTATATTATGTAAGGTAACCCAAACACAGAAAAACAAAACAGGCATATGTTCCCTCATATGCCTAAGTGTGGGTGTAGTATGACATTTAGAAAGGAGAACAAGAGAGGGTAAGTGGCTAATGAGGGAGGATGGAATGTAGACAAAGGATACATGGTCCATGAAAGAGCATATAAAGCTATTTCCCCTAGTTTCAGCTCCATGGAGGATTTTCCTCCTTTTTTTCTCCCCCCGCCACCCCCATGTGTGTGTGGGGTGGGGGGTGGATAAATGAATACAAATGGCTTCAGAATGACCATTCTAGCTGTAGAGAAGCTCACTGAGATGCAGATTTGAGACTGGGCAAGAGATTAAGTGGCTTCCTTAAACTAACTGTGTGATGTTCTTATTTTTGAGTTCATTCAAGTAAAGTGATTCTATTTTTATTCAAAAAAATTAAGCCATGTTGTCTAAAGATGAAAAGTTGAGGGATAAATGGTAAACAATGAAAGAACTATTACTACAAAAGTCCTCAAAGAGGTTACCTTTGTAGGAAGGAAAGTGTGAAGACTAGGATGAGACAGAAAGAGAAGGTTCTAAAGGTGACAGGTATATTCTGCTTCCTGACTTAGGCCATGGGTATGAGTGTGCTATGTATGGACTGCATGTTTGTATCCTGTACCCAGATTCATGTGTTGAATACTAGTCCTCCAGTATAATAGGAGGTGGGACTTTGGAAAAACGACTAAGTCAAGAGGGTGGAGCCCTCAGGAAAGGGATTAGTGCCCTTAGAAGTAGAGAAAGAGAAGGCTAACTTTGCTCTCTCCTGTCTGTGAGGATCCAATATGGAGGTGGTCCCACTAGGAATCAAAGTGTCAGGCACCATGATGTCCAGCCTGAGTACTGTGGAAAAAATGTGCTTGCTGCTTAAGTCATCTAGTCCCTGGTATTTGTGGCCCCCTGCTCCACCCAAGTGGCCCAGGCAACCTAGGGTGTTTGTTCATTAAATTCAAATCTGTTTTACAGAAATTTCTTTTTTTTTAAATTTTTTCAATGCAGGGTCTCACTATGTATCTCTGGCAGGCCTGGAACTCGCTATGTAGAATAAAGGAATAAAGTGTGTACCATCACATGGTGTGGAAATTTCTTTATATTTACATTTTATCAGTAAACAAAGATAGTATAAAAAACAAAACAACAACTCTCCAGATCTTTACCTGTGCCTTGGCCAATTTCTTTTCTAGAAGGTCTCGTTCCCGCTCTGTTTGCTGCAGACGTTTATTAAGCTCCACTATATCTCCCTTGAGTGATGCCAGGGCTGCAAGGTGGAGCTGTAGTGATGGAAAGACAGGAACACAAGGTCAGACTGCTTTTCAGAGACTTACCTCCTTCCATTCCTACCCTGTAATTAGCATAACCATGTCAAACAATCTAGCAGCCAAAAGGGGACACTTTTGAGAATGGAAGTGAATTAATCTTAGGGACAATAGATATCAGTGAGGTGTCATATGCAAGCTGGTTATACAGTCACTTTACATGTAACTGGTAGAAAAACCATTATGTGTGTGGAGTAGAACATATGTAACTTAGATGCTAAAATCAGGCCAGGGAGCAAGGCTCTGTATTCCAAAGGTTTTTCCTGAGTTACTTCAGATAGTAACAGCTGGTGTGGGGCAGTCTGACCCAACATAAAACACAAGGGCCTGTGATCAAGCACTCAGGAGGCTGAGGCAAGAAGATCACAAGTTTGAGGCCAGACTAGACTACATAGGGAGATCCTGTCTCGAAAAAACTTAAAGAAACAAAATAAAACAAAAACTTCAGGCACAATGGTCATGAAGAAAAGAAAGGGAGGGCTGGGGAACAGCTACGTGATAAAGTGCTTGCCTAATATGTACAAGGCCCAAGGTTCATCCTCAATAATAAAGAGAGAGTGCTTTACTAGATGGTCTCGTTTTTGAGCTGGCCTGTTTATTTTTTTACTAGTACCGCCTTCCTCAGCGCCCATCAATCTAGATCAGCTGGATAGATGCTTCTCATATGCTAACAGACTTCATAAAGCAACAGGCCCAGAATTTTGATGCTATGCTGTATAATGAACAGCAAACCTGCAGCCATCCAGATACCCTTTCCTCCCAACTCTCTCAGGTTCACTGATGCTGGAAAGTTCTTCAGATTTGACCAGGGGGGCCAATCACTACAATGGCATTCTGAACAATTTTACTTTCTGAAGATGGAGTTTCAGCTGTATACGCTCCTGCCCCAGCCTGAGCCTCTGTGGCTCTCTTCAGGCCAGAGATGGGACAACTTACAAAACCCATTCAACACACCAATCTCAGAGTAACACCTTGAACCTTTGCCTACCCAGGCACTGTTGACTCCTGCTTTGTCTGTGCAGCCCAGACAGATCACCCCGGGCTCTCCAGTATGCCACAGGGAGCATCAGAATAAATGTGCCTTCTCACAGGCCATCTATAACTTCTGATAGGAAGGGTTTAATGTAGAAAAGAGCAAATAAATAGACATGATAGTTAAGGATGGACACAATGCAACAGTACTCAGCACAACTGATGATCACTTGCAGCTCAGGCTTAGAAAAAAATGCTTTTTACAACCTGCTTTGACATGTTGGTGATGGTTAGAGACTGAACTGGGAGAAGAAAGATGGAGATGAGAGGGGGCTTCAAAGCACTGTTTTCCTTAGATTCCAACCACAGTGACTCACTTAATTGTGCAGAGGCTGCAAACCAATAGATCAATAGATGATTTGAAATCAAGAATGCTTGAAATTTAGAAAGGAAATGTCAGGCAATCTGGTGGTATTTGCTTCTCACTAGGGCTAGGGCCACTCTGAAAAGGTCGCTTTGGTGTTCAGATACAAGGTTTTATATGACAATTTCTCAGCAGAAATACCACAATGATCCTACTTTACAATCTTTTGGATAATGTTTGTTTCAAGTAGAGAAGGGCGGGGGAGAAAGGCAGTCTCTTCCATGGCTGGGTTGCCCCCTCAACCCCTCAGCATCATACACAGCCATGTTACCTGATCATATTATCCTGGGAGAATAATTATCAAACAGGCCTGGAACTGACATGTGCTTTAAGGAGTAGACACAAGAGTCCCAACTGTAAGTCTGGTGTACTTTCTACCTGGCTGTCTGAAATCTGGGAAGTGAACTGCTTGCACAGATCAGGGAGGACTACAGAGCAAAGCCGGCACAGAACAGTGTAGGGTGCCCCAGACAGCATGAACGAGGCTACATGGGGAGACACACAGAGTAGCCAGTTCCATCAGTCACAGCAGAGAGGTCCTCAATGGGGAGGGTGATGGTGCAGCTGTCAAAATATTTTCTGGTTCCTCAGCTCTCTGGACCACAAGAAAAGCCACAGCATGTGCATGGGACAGCTCTGTTCTTGTCTGGATGGAAGACACATCCCACAAAAGGGAACAGACAGGTCCATAATGTCCAGAATACAGTTCTCCAAAGAGCCTCATGAATGTGATAGCCATTTCCCTAGAGACAAGTATAAACATGGGGTACATGTATGTTTTCTACACATTGAAGTATATCTATGCACTTCCAAATTAACAGACATTTGTGCTAGACATGAGCTCCGTGACCCCTCAGTGGTTCACAGAGAGTCTAGTGTGTCATGATGAAAAGATGTCTGAGTTAATGCTCAACTGGAGATACTAAGTCACCTAAGTCCCCGCAGAAGGCCCGGCACTACAGCCATGGCATAGCACCCTTCTACTATTACAGGAGTCTGTATATAGCAGAAATGTGCAGTTTCGTACATAGCTAAAAACTTTACTTAAAAGGTTTTTCTCTGATGATAAAAGAAATGAAAGGTGACCAAAATTAAATTAGAAAAGTTACTCTAATGGATTCCTAGTTCGAAATTATTTTTGCTGCTTTTTGTTTAATGAATTTTTACGCAGCTCTTTCTGTAGTAAGGAAACAAATAAGCCAGAACATGACTGAAAAGGGTTATTTTCCCTCTTGTCTCAGTCCACCAGCCCTTTGGATGGAAAGAAGATAGAATAAAACATGTTCTTTACTATTTGTCAGCAGAGGCACAGAGGGCAGGACCACCAATGGGTGGTACTCTCCCCAGCTTAGAATCTACAGATAGCCCCTCCCTCACAGCCCATGTGATACTCAGTCCCTAAGAACTAGAGTTCAGAAGCTCTTTGTGCCCCCCCATCACTAACTCTTTCATATATGACTTGTGGGTGCACTGTTTCTAGACAGGATATTAAATCACTTGCTAAGGTTGCTGTGAAGTCAAAATGAGATCATACCCATGCAGTGACCTTAGGAAGCTAGGGGCACCTGTTGTGCAGTATTTTGAGAAAGGCTGCTCAGTCTTGAAACTTAAAATTCATCAACATCATCTACAACATAACACATTACATGCAAATCATTTTCCTGCATTGGTCAATTCACAAAGAAGCAGAATTTTTTCCGCTTCAACTGGTAATTCCCTTAACAGGCCAAACTGTAGGCCAAATTCTAGCCCTGCAGGGCCATTTCATAACTTAGGCCCGTTTCCTGAATCAGAATTTAAACTACGCCATCAACACGGCACCCCCCCAATAGCGTACCCCCTTCCATACCTTTCCCCACAGATGGCCTGAGAGTGCATCATGCTTCTGCTGTGCTTTGATTATCCTGCCTCCTCGTGACTGGCACGTGATCAGCATGAGCTCCAATGCTAGATGTAAGCAGGTAATCCGCATGACCTTTGCTACCCTTGATCCACAATGGGTGCCCTTTCATGTTTTTGGATGATTATGTGTATATATACAGCCTGCTGAAAAATAAAGTTGAATTCTGCCCTCTGACCAAGATCCGTGGTGGGTTTTGCTCCATCACACCACACTTGCCCGCTGTTGGAGGGGTGTGGACTTGCCCCTGGATGGTGTGGACCCACATTGTCTCTCTCTCTCTCTCTCTCTCTCTCTCCTATGTGATACTCAGTCCCCAAGAACTAGAGTTCAGAAGCTCTTTGTGCCCCCCCATCACTAACTCTTTCATATATGACTTGTGGGTGCACTGTTTCTAGACAGGATATTAAATCACTTGCTAAGGTTGCTGTGAAGTCAAAATGAGATCATACCCATGCAGTGACCTTAGGAAGCTAGGGGCACCTGTTGTGCAGTATTTTGAGAAAGGCTGCTCAGTCTTGAAACTTAAAATTCATCAACATCATCTACAACATAACACATTACATGCAAATCATTTTCCTGCATTGGTCAATTCACAAAGAAGCAGAATTTTTTCCGCTTCAACTGGTAATTCCCTTAACAGGCCAAACTGTAGGCCAAATTCTAGCCCTGCAGGGCCATTTCATAACTTAGGCCCGTTTCCTGAATCAGAATTTAAACTACGCCATCAACACGGCACCCCCCCAATAGCGTACCCCCTTCCATACCTTTCCCCACAGATGGCCTGAGAGTGCATCATGCTTCTGCTGTGGCTGTGCTTTGATCGGTCTGCCTCCTCATGACTTAGCGTGATCAGCGCCTGATCCCCAATGCTAGATGTAAGCACATGATCAGCATGACCTTTGCTACCATTGGTCCACAATGGGTGCCCTTCCATGTTATTGGATGATTATATGTATATGTACACCCTGCTGAAAAGTAAAGTTGGGTCCCGCCCTCTGACGTGTTCCCGGAGTACTCTTTGCTCCCGCTGCACTTGCCCTTAGTGGGGTGTGGGACTTGCTTGCTGGACGTCGTGGACCCACACCAAACCTCAGCTGAAGTTCAGTCCTTGAAAATAGCATTGGAAGGCTCCTTCAGCATGGCAGCACTAGGGTACTACTAGGTAAGAAGGTATCTGACATAGGAGCTGAGTCAGCAAGTAGGAAGCGGCACCACCAGTAAGGCAGGCACCAGTGACCCAGGTCCCATATAAATTCACTCTTCCTTCCCTTGCCTCAAACACGGGCAGGGGAGGTTCACCAGGTGAGATGGGCAAGACTGACCAAAGGCTTTGGAGACAACCCTCAATCCTACCCCATTTGCAAACATATGCCATCTTCTATGGCCCTTGTCTCACCCCCGGGGCCAGGGTCCCATTCACCGTGTCCCACGTTTTGCGAGAATACCACAGAAATCCTGAGTTCTTTGCAAGTACCCAAGAAACTCGAGAAAATAAGGTCTCAGGCAAAAAGGTTATTTTTTGAGAGGGAAAAGCAGAATTACAAAACTGGCATAGAGAAAAAGGTATTAGCTCTTGAAGGGGCCCAATATTGTTAGGTAGAAGACAGAATCAAAGGAAAAAACAGTTCGCTATGTCCTTAGTCACTGATGGAAATC